ATACAGTATATATGAACAGTGAAAACGTGCAATTATTAAAACACGCAGTTGCATATTTGTCTCAAAAAGCGTGGGATGTTGGTTATTTTCTCCATCTAGGATGACACCAAAAGCCTCCCAGACGTTGGATTTCGCTCTTGAGGAAGTGTTATTGAAAACGCTGTATTCTCCGCTAGAGAGCTTCACCTCAGCCATTTCGAATGTGGTGCGCTCAGCAGCAGATTGATGCGCTGCAGAGGTTATGATTATGCGCGGTCCCGCAGGGGAGAGGTCTGAGGATTTAAACATTAAACTAAATTATTTTTAATATATTTATTATGCAACACCCGCGACCCGACCCGCATCATCTTTGTTTTACCCAGAACCGAACCCGGAAAAAAGCGTTTGAAAAAAAACACACCCGCGAATCACTTTTTTTGCGGGTCACCCGTCGGGTACCCGACCCGATGCAGGACTCTGCTTGGTGTGAAAGCGGCTCTTGACTATAATCCCAAAATAAATCTTAATATCAACATTGATGGTCCCAGGTGTTTAACTTCCGAAACATAAATAACTCTACAGAGGTTAAACGATACAGCAGGGGCTGTGTGTCATTTGATACAAATGATTGTTAAAGCATTCAGTGTGCATTGTGTCTTGTTTGGACACATCTACATACATCATATAACATCATTATGAAGTATACGTTATGCACGATAGAAAGGCTGTAGAATAGTGACACAATCAGCCATGAGCGTGGTTCCCTGTAAGCCGTGCTTTCAATGCCATTATACAGCATGTCTGCATCTGGGTCCCTTTCACAATAAAAGCCTTTGACATAGACTGCATCAGAGATAAGCAGATTGCATTCCTATAAGAGGCAACTTAACAAAATAGCTACACAAGTGACCTATCCAGAGGTAGTTGAAACTGTGGAACTCTAGAGCCCCATTAGTAGAGGAGACAACCATTAATAAGAAATACCCATACCGCATCTCCATTCTCCAGCGCTCCTCCTCCTCCCTCCGTCTCCAGTACTCCTCTTTCTGCATCTGCTTTCTCATCTTTTCCTCCTGAATCTTTCTAGCTCGGATGCTGGGCTTCACCTCCACCTGCAGTTCCGGGTTCACCTTTTTCTACAAATATAAAATTTGCCACATATATACAATACTCAATTAAGATAACTAGTGACCTATCTTCCAGAGGTAAATATATTTAGAAACGGAAAGCTATGAATGAATTATCTTGCAACAATATTCAACAAGCATCCTCTGGACATTTGGAAAAAAGTTTGAGCTTGATAACTCCAAAGTGGAGTATTAAGAGTTTATTCATGAATTACACAAACTTTCAGCAAGGACAAGCTCTCTTTTGACAAGATCAATTGTATGGAAGTTTCACCAAATACATAACCATATATAACTGCAGGGTGGATGTGTTTGATCCAGCAATGTGTTAGCACCGTTAAAATGACTACTCCTTTCTTTGGACGATATCTGTATTTGAACAGATGTCTGCTCAACATCAGAGTGTAGGAATCCTCTGTTACTAGTAAAACATTCTAAATGTTACTCAAGTAAAAGTAGAAAAGTATTATCATCAAGATAAACTTAAAGTAGCGACAGTAAAAGTAGTCATTGTGCAGATTGGTCCATTTCAGAATAATATATATGATATGTTTTATAATGATTGATCATGAAAGTGTTCTCAAAGCTGGTAAAGGTGCAGCTAGTTTGAATAACTTTGTATACTGCAGGGTAGCTTGTGGATTTACTCCAGGTGGAACTAAAGTCTGACTTAACACTTGATTATATTTCACATCATTCATCCACATCTGTAAAGTCACTAAAGGTATTAAATAATTGCAGTGGAGTAGAAGTACAAAGTAAAATAAAATGGCAATACTCAAGTACAGTACAAATACTTCACCATTGTACTTACTTGAGTTAATGTACTTAGTTACTTTTCACACTGATCTAAAAATGATGGGCACCCATATGACTTAATTACCCCTTGAGACACATAATGACAACACCAGTGTGTTTTACCTGTGTGTAAAGACGCGTCAGCCACAAACCTTGTATTGCAGGCGATGCCGACGACCTTTAAGATGCATTTCCTTGGCATTGGGATCGTTGAAACTACATTCACAGAGCTTGCAGTGGAAGCGGATGACCTTGCCTTCATCGTTCCGGACCTAAAAAAGGAGTTCAATGTATTACCTCAATATTTAAAAGCTTTCCTGCTCACTCACAAGTGCAAGTTTGATGTAGCCTAATATATGGTCTGGCAAAACGTACTTCTTCCACATAGTCATGACCGACAGGCTGGACGTCACTCTGTAGGGCGGCCAAGGCCGACAGAGAATCTTCGGTCTTGGAGTCACCTTGAGAGGGCGTTGCAGGCTTAGAAGCCTCCACTTTAGCATCGTCCATCTTCGCTGTGGTCTGTAATTTATTTCCACCTGCATTTCAGGAAATCACATTGTTGTTAACCAGTGCCACTGCTTGACCTTGGTCATGGCACATAAAGAAAGATGTGATAGAGTTGGTATAGACTAAAGGGCCTTAAAGAAATGCCATTAAAGGAATAAGCAAGTAGATACTTTAAAATCACATTCTAGCACAGTACAATACAGGAACATACAACCTGGAATGCACACTAATCATCAGGCTGACACTTAGATTAATGAGCACATACACTGAACAAAAATATAAATGCAACACTTTTGTTTTTGCTCCCATTTTTCATGAGATGAACTCAAAGATCTAAAACATTTTCTATATACACAAAATAACCATTTCTCTCAAATATTGTTCACCAATCTGAAAAGATCTGTGATAGTGAGCATGTTTGGGATGCTCTGGATCAGCGTATACGACAGTGTGTTCCAGTTCCTGCCAATATCCAGCAACTTCGCACAGCCATTGAAGAGGAGTGGACCAACCTTCCGCAGGCCACAATCAACAACCTGATCAACTCTATGCGAAGGAGATGTGTTGCACTGTGTGAGGCAAATGGTGGTCACACCAGATACTGACTGGTTTTCGGACCCCCCCAATAAAGCAAAACTGCACGTTTCAGAGTGGCCTTTTATTGTGGCCAGCCTAAGGCACACCTGTGCAATAATCATGCTGTCTAATCAGCATCTTGATATGCCACACCTGTGAGGTGGGATGGATTATCTCGATTTTTTCAGATTTGTGAACAATATTTGAGATAAATGGTTATTTTGTGTATATAGAAAATGTTTTAGATCTTTGAGTTCAGCTCATGAAAAATGGGAGCAAAAACAAAAGTGTTGCATTTATATTTTTGTTCAGTGTATATACACTTAAAGGTCCCATGTCATGCTTTTCCGGTTATTACCCGTTCCCTTGTGTGTTATGAAGGTTTTTCTGCATGTAAACGGTCTG